TTTACACCTTTAGAACTTACAGAGATGGCCAGGTGTGGTGGCTCACACCTGTAATCACAGCACTTTGAGAGGCTGATGCAGGAGAATGGCTTGAGCCCAGGAGTTTGAGACCAGCCTGGGCAACATAGAGAAATCCTCATTTTTAAAATATATATTTTAACTTAGTCAGGCTTGGTGGCACATGCTTGTGGTCCCAGCCACTCAGGAGGTGAGGCAGAGGATTGCTTGAGCTTAGCAGTTTCAGGTTGCAGTGAACTAGGATCACACCATTGCACTCAAGCTTGGGCAATAGAATCCTGTCTCAAAAACAAACAAAAAAAACCTTGCAGAGATTTAGGTCATTACATTTAACATACTGCTAAATAATTAAATGGTAACAATACTTTTGCTTTGATTGCAACTATCTTCTATTTTCCTCACCTTTTCCTTCTGGCTATCAGATTAAAGACTCATTGACTCACTGTTGTCTTTCAATTATCTTTCTTTCTACATTTCCTACCTGGCTCCACTTGCCAAATCCTGCTGCGTTTTGCTCTGCATCGCTGCCAGAAATTGTCTGTTTCTCCTCTTTAAAACTTGTCCAAACCTTTGCCCCTGTGTGGGCAGCTTCCTGCTGCATCTCTTGCCAGTACCTGTTCTCATATCTCCTTGTTGGGGCTCAGAAAGCGACTCCCCAAAACATGGAGCTTTGGCATGGCTGAGCACTTTGAACTAGAGATCAGAAGGCCTTAGAAGCTGCTTCAGAAGCAAAATCTCTCTCTGACCTTCTCTTGATCTCTCGTCCTCTGTCTCTCCTTCTCTTCCAAAACAAGTTATAGAATCCAGGATTTCTCTTCCCCAAGGCAGGTTATAGAAACTACAACTCCTCTCTTCCAAAGCAAGCCAAAAAGAAGACCCTCATTCCAAAGGAGCCCTTCCCTGTAGCCAGCAGGAAGGATGCTACACGAAGAGGCCAAGGTGAATTGGAACAGACCGGGCTTGCTGGGTTTTCACGCCTTCGGTCATTACCACTAGATCATGCCCTTTGTCCAGTCTCATTTCTACATGGCCGTCTATTCTTCATTGAACATAAACATAAAAACAGAGACTTTCCCCTGGGTCTTTGAGTCCTTGAATCTCAAAGTTTGATATATGAAGACTCCATCTTTGTCATCTAAAACTTGATTAAATAACTTTGTTATACCTTTTTCTTGTTAACCTGCCCCCCCCGCCCCCACCGCTTATTTTTTGTTGTTGTTTCAGAGGGTCTGTGTGCATATTTGTTAGATGAATATGTTGCGTGATGCTGAGATTTGGGGTAGAGATGGTCTGTCACCCAGGCAGTGAGCATAGTATCCAAAAGGTACTTTCCCTTTTTCTAGTAGTCCTCAGTGTCTATTTTTCCCTTCTTTATGTCCATGTGTGCTTAATGTTTAGCTCCCACTTGTGAGAACATGTGGTATTTTGTTTTCTGTTCTGTGTTAATTCATTAATTCACATGGATGATGGCCTTCAGCTGTGTCCACGTTGCAAATGACATGAGGGTTTTTCTTTTTTATGGCTGTGTAGTATTCCATGGTGTATGTGTACTGTCTTTTGTTATAGGAGTGTTGGCCATGACCGTTATGATGGACGAGGGAAGGGATCAAAACTTTCTGTCCCACATCCTCTACTGAACGTATCAAAGCTTCTTGGCCCAAACAATTTTCCTTGGCATTCAGTCGCAATTACTCCTCCCCATCATGATCAGTAATACTGATATGAACAGAAGTCAGGGAAATGCTAGGTAGAAAAGGGTGGGGTTTCCAGCAAGGATTTCACCCTCAACCTGGATCTGCTTTCCTAAATGAGAACTTCACATCCCTGTTTTTCTGCCCAAATATTGCCTTTTGGCCTGCCACCCCTACATCCTGTGCCCATAAAATCCCCCAGCTCCACTGACAGAGGAGCAGAGGGTGGTGTGGCAGAGAAAAAGAGAAGTGTCTGAATGTCAAGAAGAGAAGAGGCAGCTGGACATTGGAGACTACAGTCAGAGAGGAATTCGACCAGAGACGGTTGAAGAGGAGTTTGGCAGTCTCCAGCAGAACTCTAGGGGAAGATTATCTTCCCATTCCATTCCCTTTCCAGCTCCCCATCCTGCTGACAGCCACTTCTACTGCTCAGTAAAATCTCCACATTCATTATCCTTCTAGTTTGTCTGCCCTGATTCTTCCTGTATGCTAGACAAGAACCCAGCTACCAAGAGGGCAAGGTGTAAAAGGCTGTCACTGACCTGGTTTAACACTTAACCATCTGTAGATGGCAAATGCTAAAATATCATTGTTTATAACACATGCCCTTTGGGGTTCCAGAGGTCGCCAGCATTGTGGTGGGCCAGTGGGGTTCATTCCTCACTCCTACACCTGCTAACCTGCATGCTCCCCCTCCTATAAGGGATTTGAGCACAGTGGTTGATCAAAGGAGATACCCCTGTTTCAAGTCCCGTGAGGGGGTCAAGGGTCAAGGGAACTCTCCTGTCTCAATATTCCTCAGTGTTAATGAGAGCAAAGAACGCCATAGCATGATACTTCATGAATTGACATCAAGTTTTGCACACAGTTACTTTCATACCACATTAAATTCTCTATTTTTAGCTTTTCCAACAGTTGTCATCCCAGACCACTCAACTGCTGCTCTCACTTCTTCTGCAGAGCTGGCCATACTCTGTGCTTTATTTTGTCACTGATTTTTTGTTACGTTTTTGCTTTCTGTATTGTCATCTTTAAAATTCATCAGCAAAATTAGTTTATTAAACTTTGATAGCCATCGCAGTACTCATATATAATTTGATCGTGACAATGCGTCCACTTATTGTGAGTTTAGAATAGCTTTGTTCTATAATACTGATGAAGTTCAGGGCACACCAGCCCAAAATATGACACCTTGGCATATTGAATATTTTAAACTGAAGGAATTTGAGAAATGTACTATGCAGGAAGGACTTTCTGACTTTCCCTGAAGCAGGTCATGTAAAAGGTGCCCTCCTTATACCTGGAGGAAAGGAGCATCCATATCTCCAAAGACACAGGGATGCTGAGAGGAATCTGAATGGATTCGTGGTTTCCCCTAGTTTATTGTAATTAGCACCTGCACATTTTATGCTATCACATTTCCCCATGACTGTCTACTCTTCATCAAACCTCACATTAAAGCACCCAGTTTTAACCCCTTCTTCAGGTCTTCATTTCCTATTGAAGGCTCCAGTGTCACACAAAACATACATTTCAATGGTTCTGTCTTTTGTTCCAGGAGCCCCAGCTGGTGAACCTAAGATGGGTAAAAAACAAAGGTGTTTTTTCCTCCCCTACAATACTTTATTAATGCTTTTTCAGATTTCAGACTTTTACTTAACATGCTGTATTGTGAGATTTCTTTAAACAATGAGATTCTATAAAGAATTTTGTGTATATCTGTTTGTTCATTTTTGTTTTTTATTACATTTAAAAACAATGTCATAGACTTTTGACATTCACTGGGTGCCCATTCTATGGGCCTTCATAAATCTCAAATTTTTGTCTTTCATTTTTGAAAATCATGATAAAACACATATGACATAAACTTTACCGTTGTAATCTCTCACTCTTTTTTTTTTGAAACAGAGTCTTGCTCTGTTGCCAGGCTGGAGTGCGATGGTGCAGTCTCAGCTCACTGCAACCTCTGCCTCCCAGGTTCAAGTGATTCTCCTGTCTCAGTCTCCTGAGTAGCTGAGATTACATGCACCCACCACTACGCCTGGGTAATTTTTGGTATTTTTAGTAGAGACAGGGTTTCACCATGTTGGCCAGGCTGGTCTCAAACTCCTGACCTCAGGTGATCTACCCGCCTCGGCCTCCTAAAGTGCTGAGATTATAACTGAGAGCCCCCACAGCCAGCCGTAATCATTTTTAAGTATACAATTCAGTGGCATTAAGAACATTCACAATGTTGTATGATACGGTTCAGAACACACTGCCCCAAAATGTGACACTCTGGCATATTGAGTATTTTAAGCTGAAGGAATTTGAGAAATAGCAGGTGCAGGAAGGACTCTCGGACCTCCCACTTCTCCCTTGAAGCAGATCACAAGACCCTCGTGTGAGAGGTGCCCTTGCTATACTCAGAGGAAAAGAGCATCCCTACCTCTGAAGATGGAGGGATGTCAAGAGCAATCTGAATGAATAGGCCTTGCCGTTTTCCCCAGTTTACTACCCTTAGCTCATAAGGGTAGTAATAGCCTTTGTCCTATGACATTTTTCCATGACATTTTACTCTTCTTCAAATCTAGCAGAAAAATGCACAAGCTTAATTGTTGCTTTGCCTTCATTTCTTTATGAAGGCTCCTTGGTCACATACAACTTACATTAAATAAATTTTTATGTATTTTTCCTTGTTAATCTGTCTTTTGTTAGTCTAATTTACAGTGTCCCAGGCAGAGAACCCAAAGGGATAGAGACAAAGGATATTTTTTTGTCTCCTACATGTGCAACAACCACGGTTATTTATTTCCAGAGCTTTTTTAAAATCTCAAATATTAACACTACCTATTAAACAATACCTCCCCATTCTTACCTCCCTGCCACTGGTCATCATGATGCCACTTTTTGTCTCTGTGAACTTGACTATTCTAGATATGTAAGTGGAATCACACAATGTTGATTCTTTTGTGTCTGGCTTGCTTACTTAGCATAACCGTAATGTTTTCAAGGTTCATCCATGTTTGCAGCATGTAATCAGAACTTCATTTCCTTTTAAGGCTGAATAATATTCCATTATGTGTGTATACTGCATTTTGTTTATCCATTCACTGTTGATGGACATTTGGGTTGCTGCCATCATTTGGCTATTATAATAGCGCTGCTATGAACATGGGTGTATAAGCATCTGTTTGGGTTCTTGCTTTCAGTTCTTTTGAATCTCAAGATTTGATAACACAAATGCAGCATATGATTTTTCCCATAAAACAAACACTTTCCTTATTCAAACCTTTCATGTCTTCTTTTCAGTCATAACCCTTAAAGTTGATTTCCTCTGTGTGACCATTTTCTGTCAAGAAATGTAGCTTTATATCCACTACTGGGCAAAGGTAAGTCAAACCCAGCAAAGTGATAATTACTGTTCCCTTCCCACCACTATGTACCTGTGCAACTAGTCTGCAAAGAGGAGCATTGCCAAATCCTAGATTTGTGATCAGTTGCCCAATATAGACCAAACTGTATCCTGTAGGATGTAAATTTTGTACCCCGGACTCATACTCAGAATATTTTTCTGCTTCTTATATAGCTAGGGAAGGAAGCCAGAAGTGAGAGGACTAGATTGACACCTGGGTAATTAGAAGGCTTTGTTCCCTAAAGCCCAGTTAAATAGTGTTGAGCTATCACTCAGTACTAGCAGAAACAGTTTCCTCTTGCTTTTTTCTAAAACCAACTAATAAATAATGTTAGGGTATCTTTGAAGCAATAATGTTTAATCACTCACAGTTCTTTGAAAGGAATGTGTTTAAGATTAGAAAAAAAAAAAAAAAAAAAAAAAGCCCAAAGGCAGAGAGCTTAAATAGTAGCCATTTGGCAATAAATACAGTTACTTCCCCTCTTCAGCCTGCTCCACTCCCTCCCCCATAACTCTTAGCACAAAGCTTCAGGTTTAGTTTTGGAGAGAGTAGGTCTACATTCACTTGAAAAAAGTCTTCTTGTTTTTCATTTGTTCTGTTGACTTCACTGTCTTTTAAAATATCTGTGTTGTGGAGAACATACTGAATTCTGAATTACTAAGTAGCATATCTGTTTGCTGTAGAGAAGGATTTCAGTCCAACAGTAAAAGATTTTAGCTTGCCTCTATAGCAGGTTGTCTTAGTCCCTAAGACAGGTGAAGATGAAATGAGAGAGAGAGAAGAGATACACACAGAGAGAGGCTTGTGATTCCTTGAGGGGCAAAACTACTTATATCTCCTTTGTTTTTCTTAAAGACATAGAGAAGGGATGGTGATGGTGATGGAGGGTCTCCAGGGGAATTACGAGAGTTGTGGTGGTGTCTCACTGGGCATTGGCGAGGGAAAAGATCCCACTCACATGATTGGCAGGCCTGGGCAAAGCTAGTATGGACAGTCTCTAAAGTACTCTCAGATGGAAGTATTCATGGAGCAGTTTTGATATGGTTTGGCTGTGTCCCCACCCAAATCTCATCTTGAATTGTAGTTCACATAATCCCTATGTGGCCATGGGAGGAAACTGGCAGGAGGTGATTGGATCATGGGGGTGGTTTTACCCCCATTCTGTTCTCGTGATAGTGAGTTCTCACGAGATTTGATGGTTTTATGAGGGGCTTTTTCTCCTTTGCTTGGCACTTCTGTTTCATCTGCTGCTGTGTGAAGAAGGATGTGCCTACTTCCTCTTCCACTATGATTGTCAGTTTCCTAAGGCCTCCCCAGTTATGTTAAACTGTCAATTAAACCTCTTTCTTTTATAAATTACCCAGTCTCAGGCTGTTCTTTATAGCAGCATGAGAATGGACTAATACAAGTTGTCATCTAGACTAGTCTGCTCAAAGCTTTTCTTTAGGCTGGGCACAGCGGCTCATGCCTGTAATCCCAGCATGTGGAGCGGCCAAGGAGGGCAAATCACGAGGTTAGCAGTTCGAGACCAGCCTGGCCAGACATGGTGAAACCCTGTCTCTACTAAAAAAATACAAAAATTAGCCAGGCATGTGCTGATGGGCACCTGTAACCCAGCTACTTGGGAAGTTGAGGCAGGAGAATCACTTGAACTCAGGAGGCAGAGCTGAGATAATGCCACTGTACTCTAGCTTGTGTGACAGCAAGACTCTTTCTCAACAACAACAACAAAAAGGGCTTTTCTTCAGTCAACTAGTTATAGCCCTGATTCCAGGAGCTTGGCCTAAGGGGCAAGATATAGGAGCTATGTCTTCTGCCCAGGTGGGAGTTCTGTTTCTCTCTGCACACTTCATGGGGCAGCTCTCCCAGCTCCTCTGTGCCATGAGGCCCCGAATCGGCAGATTGTTTTTTCTTATTCTCAACATCACATTTCTTTATTTAATTTGAAGATATACTTCAAGTGTAGACATTTTAAAAAGAGGGCATTTGAATGCCCTCTGTGCGCATCTTAAGGGATTTTCAGAGGCGTGCTTATACCCTTACTTCACACACACACACACACACACACACACACACACACACACCTATCTATCTGTCTACTTACCTACCTACCTACCTATCAATCTACCTACCATCTATCATCTCTCTATTGTCTGTCTCTACTTTTATATAGAGAAATCCCTGGTCAGTTAGTGAAAAATATTGCCAAGGTAGGAAAACATGAAAAATTGTGTGTGTGTGTGTATATATATATACATATATGTATATATATGTATATATATATGTATGTGTGTACATATATATGTGTGTGTGGATATATATATATATATTTGTGTGTGTGTGTGTGTGTGTGTGTGTGTGTGTGTATATATATATGACATCCATCCAGCAATCTTTTTATAAAGGGATAAGGGCTATTCTACCTACTGAGAAATACAATGTAGTTCTTTTTGCACATACTTATAAATTAATGGTCTATAGTTTGCAGTTTTTGTTTCTTTCAAGTGAAGTGAAAGTGTATAGACAATGTGCAAGTAGAATCTTTCCAGTAAGTGATTCTCAAATTTTAGCATCTGAATTTCTTGGAGGGCTTGTTAAAACAGATTTCTTAACTTCATCCGCAGAGTTTTAGGTGCAATAGATCTGGAGTGGGGCCTGAGAATTTGCATTTCTCACAGGTTTTCAGGTGATGGTGATGCTGCTGGCCCAGGGATCGCTTTTTGAAAATCACCATGGTAGATTTTCGTTATACTTTACAGAAAGCAAATATGTAACATTTTATAGGGAGAAGAAAGAATATTGATTAGTAGCAGAGTTGGTTAAGAGAAAGTAGGTTGAGAATGAATATAATTCTATCTCTGTTTTATACATTCGATATACAGCAATCCATGTTCACATGGATTCCTTCACAAGAGTTCCAGAGCACTCTTAAATCTCACATAGGATATTGATGATGTGCTATAAATAGTTGAGTTTGCAAGGAGGTAAAAAGAGATTCTTCCTGGAAATGGTAATGTTCTTTAAAACTTTTTCTCTCCACTAGGATGGAATTAACTTCTCAGTGCTTCTTTACTTACCTGTAAACTATCATAAACACAATTACATCATGGAGCTCTCCAGAAGACAAAAGGAGATAATATATAGTAGTTTTTCTCAGATGTTTTCACCATGATTTTTCATGATAGGTAGGTGAGGAATTGGGAGAAAAGTAAAGAACACATTACAGAACAATTTTATTGAGGTCTTCTCTTTTATGTCTTAAAAATGAATCTACAGGAGCCAAAAAAAAAAAAAAAAAAGGAGAATACATATCTATCAAAGATCCATTTGTTTTCATAGAAAAATATTTCACACAACTTGACAGTCACTTAACCGTGTTTATGTTTTGATTTCTGCTATGAAGAACAAGTACCTTAATTTGAGAAACTTAGGAAAATGCTTTGTAAACAGTAATGCATTACATAAACTTTTTCTATTATTAGATTTTGTTTTATTTTGGCAAACAGTGAGACACTCATAGCAGATATACAGGCTTTGACATCTCATTAACAGATTCCTTATGCTGATGTTTGGATTTTCAATGATCAGACATATGATAAAGTCTTCTTCTCCAGAGATGTTGTCTACAATCTTAAAAATTTGCTTCTAAATCATATTTCTGAGATACAAAAAAGTCAAAGCCATTAAAAAAATGCAATTGGCCCATAATTTATTTATCTCTTAATAAAGTAGTTGATGGTGGGGGCAGGACAGTGAATTTATATAAAAGGCAGCTAATGATTTCTGTGTTACATCATTGTAAAATCACTAGCATATTCAAAAAATTAAATGTATATCTTATACTTGCATATTTACTTGTACTGTTTTAATGGCATTTCTAACTAAAGCAAGATGAAAAAATATATTCCAGGCCGGGCGCGGTGGCTCAAGCCTGTAATCCCAGCACTGTGGGAGGCTGAGGCAGGTGGATCATGAGGTCAAGAGATCGAGACCAACCTGGTCAACATAGTGAAACCCTGTCTCTACTAAAAATACAAAAAATCAGCCAGGCATGGTGGCGCGTGCCTGTAATCCCAGCTACTCAGGAGGCTGAGGCAGGAGAATTGCCTGAACCCGGGAGGCGGAGGTTGCGGTGAGCCGAGATCGCGCCATTGCTCTCCAGCTTGGGTAACAAGAGCTAAACTCCGTCTCAAAAAAAAAAAAAAAATATATATATATATATATATATATATATATATATATATGTATATTCCAATTTATGGATCACCCATTTAACCATTATTTCTTGAACACTTGGAGTATTAACATTTAGCTAGTTTCTGTAAGGGATGCAGAGATAAATAAGACATAATCCTCAATTTCTGGCCAGGCATGGTGGCTCATGCCTGTAATCCCAGCATTATGGGAGACCAAGGAGGGAGGATTGCTTGAGCCTAGGAGTTCAGACCAGCTGGGGCAATAGAGCAAGATCCCCATCTCAAAAAAAAAATCCTCAATTTTTGAGAATTTCAGAATTTTCCATTCTGTCAATTGACCAGTGAGGTGCTGCACTTTTCCCACTTACAGGAAGTAATCTACGTACAGCTAATAATGTTTATCAGCATGGACAAAATCTAATTAGCTGGGCAGCTGTGGAGTCCGACAGAGATTTGTGTGAATCCCTGCCTAGCCACTCGTTAGTTAGATGATATTGGGAAGATTTTCTAAATCTTTCTGCTTGTCAGTGTTTCAATCATAAATTAGTGGGTCTTGTGAGAAGTGAAAATAATATATTTAAAGAATGAAACTCAGTGATCAACACTTAGGTCTTCCATCTCTGCTTCTTCCTACTTTCTTATCTCTAGCTTGAGTGCGTGTGCTGGTCTCATCCCAAGACTGCTAGACGTGAAAATGTCTGCCTTGATTCTGGCCCAGATCACCATTCAGGGAGCTGTGACAATGAGGGCACAGGCCACATAAATTGTTAATGAAGAATTGCCTGTGGCAGTTCTTTTGAGAAGAGAGCAATGGACTTAGCTCCCATTTATGGTGCCACATCCTGCCCTGCTCACAGGTGAAAACTGAAAAGGGAAGACGGTCCATTTGTAGTTGAATAGAACTCTAGGTTCACTTTATGATTCAGCTGGGGGCATACCATAGTTTTACATTAGAGTTGGAAATCCAGAGTAGGACTTTTTCCTCATGAAATTTCCACTTTAGATATTAGAAATGTTTCTCTGTAAGAGAAAGCAAAGCATTAAACTAAATTTCCTTTCCATTTTATTCTTTGGAAGACTCCAAAAGGCAGATGGGTAATTGACATATGCCTAGGAAAAGTTTACATATATATATTTTTTGGAAAAAATATCAATTTGAAGTACTAATACTACACTTAAAGGAATAAATTATGCATTGATCCATAAAGATTATATTCTCAGTGGCAAGTCCTCAGAATTGCATTATCAAACCAAAGGCTCATACATATTTCAAACTATATAAATTAGATAATGTTGCAAAAAGATTAGAGCTTACCATATACTTTGATTGTAGTATAGTTCTTTCTTACTCTTCAAAGACATATGAGAAGCATTAGGTTTGCCTGTATATGTTTTTGTATGATATGTACATATAGATATATACACACATACATGCATTCCAGATAGATACATATATGGATCTAACAACATACATACTAATTCAATAATTTCTCTTTTGTATTATTGGTACCAAAAAATACAAGGAAACATTTATAAATTTACTAACATCTAAAAGTAGAGTGAGTGTTTTAAAATGCATTTTTAATATATTGTTTTTACTTTGTTTTCTTTTGAAAGACAATATGAATAATAGCAATAGATTTTGACCTGCAGCCATTCACACCCAAAGCTCTTTGTCTAGAGTATCCCATCGCTATGATTTGGATGTGATTAATCTCTGCCAAAACTTACGTTGAAATGTTATTGTCAATGTAATGCTATTTAGGAGTGGTGGGGCTTTTAAGAAGTGTTTGGGTCATAAGGGATCTACCCACATGAGGAGATTAATGCACTTCTTGCAGTATTGGGTTAGTTCTCCCAGGAATGTATTGGTTCCCACCAGAGCGAGTTGTTATAA